TTATGTAGATAATGATAAAAATTAGTATTCTGAGGTTTTGATATTATGTCTTGAGAATTTAATTTGGATTTTTCTGGTTGGGAGAATTTACTGACTAGATGAATATATTAGTTATGTCCCAGTATTAGAACAAAATACTATGCAACATATATAAACATTAAAAATATAATCCTTCTGTCATAAAAATGTTTTTGAATTAAGACTAGATGCATTATAATCTTATATGAAGTAATGTGATGCAGTAAATGTTTGGAGTTGATGTCCTTGAAATGGAGAAAAGATGATTGCTGACATTCCCAGAGACTCTAGGTGGATAAATAATATACAGAAGGAGTGGGATTTATTTCATAGTTATTTTATATTTCTGAAGTGGTTGAATCCGCAGCAGGAAAAGTTCAAATTATTGGAGGAAAACAAAAGTTCCTTAGCACCTGAATATGAATCAAATAAATCAAAGACATTATTCATTATGTATTAACCAAATATTCTGAAATCTTGAAAAAGAGATATTTAAAAGAGATGTGTTTGCTGCAATTTTTTCCACTTGCATTTTGTGGCTCCATTGCTAGATTTAGCACATATTTTGACATTGTGTTAGTTTTTCCAATATACTTGAGCACTTGTTAGTAATTTATCCTCAAAAACTCAAGTATTTTCTATACTTTTTCAAGAAACAGGATAGTTGGATATTTGTGATGCCACTCTGTCTTCATCTTACAAAAAAAAAAAGAGCAAATGTCAAGTAATTTGTGTCAGGTGTATGCTCCAAATGAAAGTCCATCAATCATTTTTGGCCCTTTAGTGCAATGATTATAATTTCAAAGACGCAGGAGGACATTAAAGATAATGGCTTTTCTGTTGTCTATTATCTCTAACAGACTTCACATAATTATTAACATATGTTCTCATTTACGAAGAGTGTCAATATTTTGAGTGAATTGCATTTTTTTAACTGAAAGGGATATGCCTGTCAGCAAGTTTTTTGTCCATCTAACTAAATGAGGAATTACAATTAATAAATTTTGTGTTTCCGCAAGAAGGGCAAATATTGCAGAAAATGTTGGAAGCTTTGCAGGGGTGAAACACAATGACTGTCTTCAGCTGTCTGCATAAGATAATAAACAGTGTTCAAACTTAAGCAGAAGTACTAAAATGCTAGTGCATGCTCGTCCGAGGCACTCTCACTTTCTTTTTATATTTTATGCTGTGCTGAGAAAAATAATGGCATTCCTTGTTTATCACAAAGCCCTGAAGGCATGTAGAATATAGAAATTATCCACAGGGTGAATATCTATTTTGTGGTTTGTCTAATTTTTGCAGTTCTGATAGGAGTAAAAATATTGAGAAATGTTTCTTACTAGCTCATTCACACCTCCTATTTGAACCTGATATATTGCCATTTGTGTGTACTTTAGAAAAAGGCTAAAAGTAGTGGTGTTTTCAAGCTAATAAAATTGTAAATAGACTTTAAAAATATAAAGCTATGGTTCACTCATATTAAGGAAAACATAGTTAAATTTGGCTCTCCCTTGAGTAGGAATATGAGAGATAATGTCTAGTCTTAAGCTTCTGAAATTTCATTGGTAACTCTTGGATTGTTTATGCAGAATGGCTTGAGGGACATACTTTGGCTTCTTGTGCAGAATATTCTTCCTGTGTTTGCACAGGGTTTCAGCAATCCAAACATGGGTCCAGGCTGTTGATTTGCTGTAAAAGTTGGTGAGTGGGAATGGAGGGAAATGCTGTAATATGCAGGACAGCTTTTTAGCTTATGGCTTTTCTCAATAAATTTAAATATTATGGAAGGAATCCATGCACCACCAGGAGGAAGGACTTAACTTTTAATCACCAAAGTAAACTGAATCTCTTCAGATTTCAGCACCACTAAGTGTCCTGGACAGAATATAGGCATTGCAGTTTGACAGAACAGTAAAGTCCGCTGTACAATATTTAATGAAATAAATTTCTGGCTACATTAGAGGAACACCTTCTAATGGGAATGACAGAATAATTTATTAGTGTATTCAAGCTTTGGTATATCTTCACTTTTGAATTAGATTATAAAGATTTGAAAGATGTAGATGCGACACTTGTGTACAGCAAATCAGCATTAAAAAATAGGGGGAAAAATAGCAAAAATCAAATAATGCTATGGGTCAGTGAAGTAAAGGAATTATCACCAGCAGTCACAATTTTGTCACTAAGCCAGAAGAGGCTACATCCATTACAACAATGCATTCGTAGTCTGGAGAAGCAAAAGGCAGCTGGCAAACCCCACCAGCTGGCACAGCAGCATCAGCTGGCTTGTAGCTGCTTACCTGTCACTGCCAGCTACAAGCAAGTCCCAATATGCTGAGAGGTGATCAGTGATTTGTCTTTTAAAAGCATAGACTAAATAGTTCAACACAGTCTTTACAAACTTTCCTTTTATTTGCCTTATGTTTTTACTGAACTGAAAAAGTGCTGATTTTTTTGTGTCTCCTTTCTATTTGGAATTCACACACATATGTAATTCCCCCTTAGTGACAGAATAACCATAATTTGGGACAAAGTTAGTGTCTTTGAAAATTAATTCTCTATTTAACTACTGATTATATATTTTAACTGCAAAATCTTTCAAGTTCCACATTGATTCTAAAAATCTATGACAAAATTTCAGTATAATACTTAGCATTATAACTATGTGTTTGAAGTAGGTTTATGCTTAATATGCTATTCTGTTGTCATGGTCCTCCATTTTTGCTCTCTGATGAATTAATTATTAGCTTTCAGTTGCTTGGTTGAAGCTATTTTAGGTAGTCTGCATCTAGCTTGATGCCTGGTAATTGTGACCATGTGTACATTTGTCTAAAATGCAAGTGAACATACAGTCAGTTGCTGTTTTAAATCATTAATCTCTGGTTTAACTGTTAAAATTATATAGGGCTTTCTTTAAGGGTTTTCTCACAAATTGTTTAGGGGGGAGGTCTTGCTTAGTGATGTGAGCTAGTCTGATCATGTCTGGACGATATATTGGCACTTACAAATACTTCAGTGGAATGATTTCAAATGTCATATTGTCTACAACAGCTGTAGTCTGGAAAGGTTTTGCCTCAAACTAGGCATGTCTAATGGGGTTTATGACAACCTATGAATTTGCCCTGAACAAGGTCAGCTTGGAGGTCAGTGAATGCTGTACAAATTGCATACTGCTCAAACCTGTAATTATCCCTGTAAGAAGTTAATGTGCTGTGGAGTTCAGCAAATTCATGTAAAGCTTCAGAGATGACCGTGATAAACCAGGCAGTTACTTACATTTGCTCAGAAGAATCAGTCAGCAGGATGTGATGCTTCCACAGTGTTCAGTTACGTTAACTTGGAGCAAAATCATCTTGTCTGCTTGTGTACTCACGAGATAAAGAGCCTGAATATTTTGTCATTTGAACAAAACACTTTCCACAGTATTAATTTCTTAACATCCATCATATGTGCTGTACATATAGGCAGAAAAAAATCTCAGGATAGATTTTTTCAAATTTTGGCAGAAAATATGCAGTATCTACTTTAACATAAGTTTATTATTGAGTACCTACAAGAGGGACCTAAAGTATCTGTCAGACCTTTGTTGAAGAGAGCATTTGTTCCAACTTGTGCATGTATTATCCAGTTTCACTACTCTAAATACTAACTTCTCATTTTCATGTGAAAATGTCAGTATCATTTCTCTTTTTCCTCTATTTGTCAAAAAAATTAGTTTTTTATTGATGAGTGACTAAGTATTTTCTTAGGCAAATATTTGTAAATCACATAAAACACAGGAAACATTTTTATGAGTTAATATAAATTTTGTCAGTTAACTGTCTTTAATTTGAGTATGAATAAAAGCATTGTAGGAATAAGGAATAACAATTGTTTTAAGTTCTTACTATGATTATATATCCAAATATAAGTGCCACCTTTAATTTAAATAATAAAATTAAATTTGGAGAAATATAGATTAAATATTCAAATACTAAAAATATAAATTCAGGGAAAACATAGCAATTAGTTTTAATTTTGCATAGGAGTCAGTATTTTTGATAGTTCTTGTACATCAACGCTATGAAGTAAGCCATCTGCTTGGATCAGAACATTTTGTATTTTTGAAGAATTTGTGTCTGTATTGCATTTTGTGATGTGCTCCTGTCATATCTTTCTTATTAAATAAATCAAAATCACAAATACCAATATCCCAGACATTGTGGGAAATAAGTTTTTTACATTTGTAACATCTGAGCAACACTGATCCCTTTCTTTATAAGTAATTTCAACCAGCCAAAATAACATTAAGGTTTCTTTTCCTCCTCTTTCTTCCTCTCCCCCTAAATTGACATCAGAAACTATTACAGTCTGAATGTCAGTGTAGTATACTCTCAAATATCTGTACCCAAATGTGAAAAAAATCCTGAAATCCCTGTGGAGTGTCAACAGTGTGGAATAAGCACATTCAAACATGAGCAAAAGAAATACTTTGAGTAGTGCCCAGTGTTCCAGAAGTAGTGTTGAGAGGACATAAAAAGACAATTCTTCAATTCTTCTTGTTCAGGAATTGATTCTTTGCTGAAAAAATAGACATAAGACTGTTCACACTAAAATGTAAACTACCAGACAAACTAAGGAACTTGTGGTGTACTCAGTGTCTTTAATAGTTCTTATTTGTCATTTAAAGAAAAATGGGGGGAGAAACATATTCCAGAATAAATATTTGATGTGCCTTTTTCTTTTTCTATGTAACAGCATCCTACAAGTAAGAGGTGATGTTCTTTGGTAGAACTGGTGAGAATTCAGTCTTAAAATTAATTTGTTAAGGTGCGGAGCACAAAGATAAGATGATGGTCTTACTACCACATTTAGTTACTATAAGGGTTTGATGTTTGGAGAAATATTGAATTCAATTCACAAATTAGCTTCTGTTATAAAAGTGACTGAATCCTTTATAGAGTGTTCCCTTGATCTCAGATCATTTTGCATCACCTTTCTAGATTATCAAATTGCTGGATGGAAAGCGATCTCAAACTGTAGGAATTTTAATATCGAGTTTGCACTTGGAGATGAAGGATATTCAACAAGGTAAGTATTTCTCTCACACTTAATGTAATATGCATGGATATTTTATCATAGCCCTCAGTATGTGTATTGAATAGTCTGCTAAACTACCAGAAGAATCATTCTTCCAATATATTCCAGTTTATGTAAAAGTTTCACCTAAAAACTAGAATCAAATTTAGGTACAATTCTTTCTGTACCTTTACAGTTAGCATAACACTTTCAGTACAGTGTTTCCATATTCCTCCCCTGCAGTTTTCCCTGCTTTTTCTAAAGCAAGTCGTCCACCAACAGGAATTAAATGGAGGGCTTATGCATAAATCTTTCAGGCTTCAAGCATGCAGTCAGTATTTTTTAATATTTACATTTTGCTTCATTAACAGTTTAAGAAGTACATCCCAAACTGATGTTACCATGTAAGAATCAGAAAGAGAATTACTGGATGGCATTTTTCAAAGCATAGGGCTAGTCAGTTGTAAATTCCATTACTGGTAGAAATTATTTGAGTTTGCCAATACAACTGTAGAGAAATACAGATTTTTCAGAACACTGGGGTGATTGAGAGTCTGCTTATGTTCTGGATTTAAAAAGATATTGTTTAAGGATATTGTTTATTTCTTTTTCACATTAAGAAAAGGAAAATATTCACCATTTAAAACAACTGCTGGAACAACTCAAGTTGATGTCTCCTTTTTTGCTATTGTTTTCCCTCCATCACATGCAAATACTGGGTAGGGTGTTGAGATGCTGCTGGCATTGATTATTATTAATTTCAAAAGAGCCTTTGAGCATCTAGCACTTTAAAAGCACAAGGGCTTACAGATGTCTCTTGGGATGCAGAGGAATAAGGAAAAGAAGGAATAACTTTGTGTCTGCCAGTATTGTGTGAAAGGTATCATAATGAGATGGAAAAAACCCACTATTACTAAAGGTCTAAATAATTTGCTGGCAGAAGTGTCAGCAGCACAGGAATAGGATAGAAGCTTTATTACAAAAACTGGGTAATAGTCTTAAGAATCTTCAGAGATTGGTTTTCTTTTTATTTTCCATGCCATGTTCACTGTACTTGTGTAGCTTTTGAAATATTCTGGCCAATTTATACCAACTCTGAGAAGTCACAATGACCCAAATATCCGGGTATATATCCAAGAGCATTTTTAACTTGAGGCACCATTGCGCTTTTGAATCACGTGTATCAGTTGTCCCCTTGGCTGTGTTTGCATTGCAGAGCAGTCTCAGAGTGCACAAACATGCTTCAGAATCAAATTACATTAGAAGATTTGCTTTAGGAGCATGCCATCAGTCTCCATGTATAGCAGTCTCTAAATTCCCCAGGATAAGATCAGAGATAGTTAGAACTCCCTGAAACACGTATAGTATGAACTGTTGCTGTCTACACATCCATTTTTAAAGACTACACTACTTGCAGTTGTAGATGCAGCTAATGTAGTTCTAGAAGTTTAATGAAAACTAGACTGTTGGTAGAAGAAAGACACCAAAACAAATGCTGTCACTGAAGAAAAGTTTAGAACTCATCGCCCTTTCTTGTCTGAGGTAGCAAATGACTGGCCTGTCACCACATGTGTTGCTCAAGACAGCAATAGGATATGCTGCCTCTTGCTCATGGAAACAGCTAGGAGCTACCATCAGGATTTCGGAATATCATTAGTGGAACTTCTTAAAAAATATACTAACAAGGCAGTCTGACTGATTCTAAGCAAAATCTGTGTGCAGAGACTATCTAGGATGAAAAACCGGTTCACAAAACTCAGGGAAAACATTGTTCTGTAGAGAGGACCTTTAGAAATGTACATTACTCTGAAAACAACATTAGAATTATGCTTGTTTCTCTTTTAATGTCCGTTTATTTCATAGTATTTTGTGTAATTTAAATCTGTGGGCAGTCCCGCCTCCCAGCAGACAAATTATTTGAAGACTGCTGTAGTCAATGCACTGGATGAAAAAAATTCATAGTAGGCTAAATGGTGCATGACAACACCTAACCAAAAAAAGCATGTAATCATTGGGTCATGAATGTCAACTTTTTTTTTTTTTTTAAAGAGGAGTTGCAAAGAGCTACCTCTAAAAACATGCAGATTAAGCACTCATTCCTTTTTTCACGCCAATTTCCATGGCGTAATTCAGTACATGAAAAACAGGGAAAAGTTCATAGCCTTCAACCACTTACAACAGAGAATGTAGAAGTCTGAAGCAAAAGAAAGTCAGAAATGAAAAAAAATCTAATTTTTATTTCAAACTTCTATGACCATGTCTGTTGTAAAGTCATGTACAAATGAATGTATGGTCTATGTGTGATGTACTGCTTAGTCTACCTTAGGTAGCAGTTATAGAATGCAGGTAGAGAATTCTCAGATGAACTGCCCTGTGCAAACAGATGCATGCAAAATTGTAGAGAAGACAAAGGAGTAACCAAAAGAAAAATTGCATCTTCCTTTAAAATAGTGTGAGATTTCTGCATCCATAGGATTATCCTCTCAAGTCAAAGTACATAGCTTCACAGCATATTCTGTAGATAACTCAGCAGAGCAAAACAAGCAAGTGACCATATCTGGCATCCAGATGTTTGAGTTTGCATTTGATAATACGCCAGCCACCACACTTCAGGAGGGGGATCTCCCACCCATATTTGTTTAAGAGAATAAAGTTCATCCTTTGCAGATAAGTTTATATCCATACTGCTTCTGAGTACAGTCTAAGGACAAGAGAGCGTAAAACTAAATAATTATTTTGGGTACTGTTGGTGTTATATGATGCACAGGGAAAGTTAACATTGTCGTGCTGCACCTGTCCTAAGACTCAGCTTTTTGTACAGTGGGAAAGAACAAATCCAGGTATTTTGGTGTTCTGAGCACTGATGAATCTGGTGCTGGTGAGGGCAATAAAGTTTTTTGTTAGACCGCTATTAATATAACTCATTTCCTGAGCAGAAGAAGCAGGCAGAAAATCTGTCTAGCTCAGTATGCTATATAGGATCTGTATATTGAAAAGACAAATAGCAGTAATCAAATTGTGCATAGGTTTGAGATTATTTTTAAGGCTGCTTCTCTGCATTTTTTAAAAACCTTTATAAAAGGAGATGAGGAATAGCAGAGATCACTTGTTAGGTATGCTGTAAGCATTCCCACTTAAAGAAGTAATCTCCATTTCATATCAATCCATTTCTGTCTTTTCCTATCGTTGTTCAGCTGAAATATTACAACTTGGGACAAACTTGTGGACCAACACTATTTATGTGGTTTTGCTGTTGAAATACTACAACTTGCTCTACAGCAAGTTGTTTGAATTTTGTTTGTAATGGGAAATGCTGATTATAGCTGTATGTGAAAATACTGTGTGGGTCATTGTCCCAGCTTTTAACAGGGCAATATTCCTCTCACTGAGAGAATTCCAAAATAGTAGCTGGCAATAGCAGTGCACTGGAAAACACATGATAATACTCCTTTCTGCAGTGTATGTCGTCTGTACTGGCTTTCCATGAGCTACTGAGATCCTTGTTCAAGAGTTACCTGGCAAAGTTGTGAGGCAGCCCAGATGAAAAACTTTTAGTTACAGAAAATAGAATGTAGATAAAATGTAGATGTCTCATGTTCAAAAGAGTGATTATCCCAAATCCCTCCCTACATTCATGGTACCTGCATTTTGCCACTAAAATTGTAGAGCACCAGAAGTTCTTCTTCTTTACATTGGGGAAATATTTCATTGTCAAATATTGCTGATTGCTGTCAGAGCACATTAACTAGACGTTCTGCTGGTATATGTGCTGGTATATTTTCCATGATATTAAATCTTTGAGATGTGGTGGATCACATCAGATGCACAGTTAATAGCTTTTTGTACCCTTTGTGGTAGTAAAGTGCAGTATGTTCCCTCCAGAAGAGCTGCAGACTTTGCTACTACATTTACCAAAACCATGGTAGCTGTGCTCTAGTACTACAATGCTGACTGAATATAGCCTGTATGAAAAGAGGAGAGCTTAACATTTATCCTTAGCATAGAGATTATTTCTAATGCTAAAAGTGAAGCATCTGACTCTTTTCCTTCAACTTTGTGATTTCCCCTTCATTTCAACATATGGGAGTAAAAGATTGGAAGAATGTGAACTGTAGATTAACCCAACCAGACTAATGATCAGTCTAATAACCATTCTGATTCAGTATTATATTTCTAGTCATCCTGGGTTTGCTCTAATAAGAGCACACAGAAGGTTTATAAATAGATTTGCATTGTCTTAGTTCAAGTTATGCGTTACGGCACATCTAAACTGTTGTTCCAAAGTTTTGTGACTTTCCCACCTACCCAAAATATTACATGTATGTATTCTATATATTCTGTATACTATGCATCAAGTATAAAGATAGCTGCATACCCGTCTCAGAAGTTGGGAAACTATTTTATTTAAAATTAAATGTTTTTCTCTTTTTTTGGGAAAATTCACAACATATATTTTTGTTAATCTGTTTTGGATATCCATTGCATGTGGGTAGGTTAACATTAGTGCCAGAATCTTTTGTTCATGACTTCTTGCAGGATTTGAGCTTTCTTAGTCTTCTAAGCCTCTGTTGTGCCCATGGTGCTTCTTTATTACGTATATTTTTTTTTGGGTTGTGTGGCAATTAATACTGGAGAAAACCTTTAAATAAGTTGATAACATATCAATTTGTCAGAAGTAAACCAGAGGGATTTGGATATTACAGGCAGATTTGCCAAGTATTTAACAGTCATTGTCTAATTGACTAGGTCAGTCACAATTTTATTTAAGTTTCCCAATGATGGGCTGCATATTGCCATGAAATCAAGCCTTACTCCACAGAATGCAGTACCTAAAACAAATAAGTACTTCCAGGTCAAATAAATGGAGCTTTGGCAAGCGCCTTCTATTTAAATAATGTACTTCTGTTTTATTATTTGAGAGCAGTTAAGGTGATTTCTTCATATTTCATAGTCTAATTGTCACATTAAATGGTTTGATACTGGGGAGTACATGTAAACTCTGTCAGCAGGACTTAAATCCTGATTTAGCCAAAATGTGTTTAGTAGGAGTGAGGCTGTATATCAGATTCAGTCTTAAGACTGTTGGTATTTAAGCTTATTCAGAGGAGGTAAGTATATTTTTCACATTAAACTCTAAGTTCTAAAGTTGTATGTACACTGCACACAGTATGCTTTAAATTCTCAGCTTTTTTTTTGCTTTACATTTTTGAATTGATCAGAATATGTGAAAAATCTGTGCAGCAGGGAGTCTGTTAGATTCATTTTTTAGAAGTTAGTATGTTAAAAACCTTTGGTATAAGTTTATATTTGAAGCAATGCTCTTAGTATGTGAAATGTAGCTGGCAAGTATTTTTATGTGTGCCTGTTAGTTTGAATGCATGATGCTGATCTGTTTTTTGTCCTAACTGACGGTTATTATATCCTAATGGGTGCAACCCTGCACTAATGATCCTTGTGTATATAAATTCTTCTTCTTGTGAGCAGACACCATAGGCAACATAAAAATGTTTGCCTCAATTTCCCTGCAAAAAAGGATCTCAGAAACCAGACTTGGCCAAGTAACAGATTTTTAAAAGGTAGAGGAACCCAATAAAATTACCAGCTTTTCACAGCATGAGTCTACTTCCTTTTGACATATTGTGAGGTGTAGGTGAAATATTCTAACTGAACTGACAGTGTAAGGAAGACAGCTAACTAGAAAGCAAGATGAAAGTAAAAACCACCAATGATGATTGATATTGTAATAGCTATTTATTATTTTGGAGCCTCTTTTGTGGATTTATGTGATTTCACCTATATTACTTACACTTACGTAAGCGGATATAATGAGATTTAATGCGGTAAAGTATCATGGTTAAATTCACTGTATCAGGAAGAGCTCTTTGAAAAACATGCCAAGGTTTGTATTAATTTTGGTGAAGTTAATATACATAAGATTAAAAGTGGGTTTTGTTTTTCATAGAAAAAATTAAAAGCTTTTGTTACTTTAAGTGAAAATCAAAATAATTACTTTGTTTGATCTAGTGCAGTGGGTTTTTTAAGCTAATTCAAGCTAATTTACACAAAATACTGTGAATGTATTTGCATGTGGCATATTTTAAGAATAAGAATATGAAGACACCTGTGAATATTGGGATTTCTTCTAGCTTTTCAAAATTAATGCTTTTTTTCAAAAAATGGACCCATCATAAATTTGCATGTTTTCATTTTTGTCTTCTGCTCCAAATGTGCATGGCATAAAATGTATAAAGATGAAGTAAAGGAGGTTATGTGGATTTTGGCAGTGTGTCTCTATATACATCGACATCCTAAGATGTCCAGCTGTATGGCTTGATTTTAACAGCAGTTGTCAGTCTGTGCATCCATTGCTAATAACAGCAGTGGAGGTTGTATAGCAAGTAAATCAGAAAATATTTTCTGAGTCCTTTTATACAATCACATGCTCTCCCCAAGAGACATAATAACTCATGTCAATATCTCTTAAAATTTATTATTATTAATTCTATTAAATATGTGGTTTAGTAGATTGTATTTCATTAGTTTTATCACAAACACTTTTTGTTTTATCATGTCACTTCAAAACAATGCTGGTTTGTTAGACCTGATGTTGAGTACAGGAACATAGATAACATAATAGAGCATTAAAAACCACTTTGTGATTCTGGGGCCATTTTGGTGACAAATATCTGGCTGAAATATTCAGCTAGTTGTGTAACACTTGATATTCTTATTACAGTGAGTTTTTACCAAACTACTTCCTGTCATCATAATAGATTTGTACATAAAAATTTGACTATCAATTGCATGCTTTGCATTTCAAGTACAAAATTGCCTCCAATAAGTTGCTTTTTCTAGATAGCTTTGGACATTTCTCCTTGTGAACAGATTTCAGAATATGTTAAAATAGGATAAAAGTTAAACCACAAGGGAAAGTTTCTGAACTCAATATGCATATTGTTAATCTTAACAATTAAACATATTGGAGTGTGAAACCAGTCTTCCAAGAGATTTTCCATCTTTAGGTCCTTTTGAAATTTTATTGGATGATACAGAAGATAGTGCAACTCTTTGAACTGTTTTGCAGGAGATAAGGGGAAATCTTATAAATTCAAACCCTAAGGAATTTTCTTAAAACAAACATTTTTGCAATCTCAGTGGTTCAGGCTTTACATTTGGTTGCAGTCTTGAGGGTTTTGAATCTTCCAGTAAGACAAAAATGGTAGGAAATACTGGGAATTTTTCATTGATACTGTCTTCTGTGTAGTTCTTTACTTCTAACCTCGGTGTAATGTCAACAGATGGAATAATAATTGACAGGCAGAATTTTAAAGCATTCTAAATGTCACTGGACCTTTTAATAAAATTAATTAGCCTGCCACAGAGAAAATTTACTAGCCTGCTGGTTAATTTCACAATGTAAAATCATGGGGTAGGTGGTGGAGCAGGCGAAAGCTTATTACTTTTAAATAATTATTTAAAGATGTGTGCCTTGCCCCTTTCAAACATGGATTACAAATGCAGCAAGAGCTTTTAAAATCCTCTAAGTTCATAAGCAGTCAAGGATTATTTGAGGAAATAAAATACAGTTGAATTAAAAGTTATCAGATAGTAGCTAATAACATCTCATTGGTTATGCCCTTGATTCTTTTGGGATTAATGTTTTCAGTAATATATAAGCATAAGCCATGAGTTCAAGAATTGTGCCTAGTCCCCTTATGAATCTTGAGGAAAAGCTGGTTTCAGAAAATTTAAACATCCAGAGTTACTTCCATTCCACTGTGCATCTCTCAGCTTACTGGAATTTAACATTAGAGTGTGTTAGAAAGCACCATGAAGGAATCCCATTTAGTTTTCAGAAGAGTTCCAATACCAATTTTCCAATAGCAAGAGTTTCCAATACCAATACCAATTGCCTAAATTGTAATGGGATTTGCAAATGTTGGAAGCACCAATTTCATATATTCCAAACACAGTAATATTTGGAACTAAGATAGGAAACATTTTGAGACTTCTCATTTTTAGTAATGAAGCATGATTAATCACTGAAGAGTATACTGCATGTGTGTCTGTGTGGTGTTGAAAAGGATTTATCTGTAAATTGTCATGTGGATAGTTTTTTATTGGATAAAGCCAACTTAAATGTGAACTTGTTGAAGATAACTTAATAACTGTAGCACAGTCTTTTCTGCTTGCAAATTTATATAGCTTGTAAACTTTGAAAGTTGGTCAACTTGTCTACTTACCAAGGTTGCTAGCTCCTAGACAAGCATATCTCACTGATTTCCTGTGCACACAGGGAGACTTAAATATCCTCACTCTCAATTCCTTCCTATCCAGCCTTCTAAGCTAACATAAAATCTGTGCTGTTCATTGTTTGGTATCAGTTGTTCTCATGCTCTTCTGCCTGGGCAGCTACACAATCAGCTGGCTACTTGACTGGTCACATCTTTGACTGCTGATTATATTGGAGAGAAAAAGTAGAACTTTACTCTCCTGAGACTGAGTTTATAGAACATTCTTGCAGGAGTGCTGTGATTTGACATCAGAACAAAAAAAAATACTGGAAAAAAAAATTAACTGGAAACATAAATGTCCTGTATCTAGGTTAGAACCCTTTGATACATTTCACAGGAAAAGAACTGGAGTGTTAATTTATGTTTTCAAGTGTCTAATTTGTGTTTGAATTCTATACAGCTATATTGTGTGTCGATGACTCTGTAGTAGATCTGGAGACACTGGAAGCCCTATATGAAAATGTAAGTAAAGGTGGGGTAAAAATGTGTTTAATCACCAAAGTATTTTGGATACAGACTTGAGGGTGCTCAGGGAACTAGTGAGTAAGGTCCCCTGAGAAAATGCTTATGAAGGTTCTGGGGTCCATCAGTGCAGATTATTTTTTCAAATACCATCTTATGAAGGGCACAGGAGCAGGAAATTCCTAAATGTAAGTATTCAAGCAGATGAAGCAGAAGGTTGGCTTATCTGAGCTGAGATCTTCTTTTGGAGCCAAGGCAAGAAAAGAATGTGTATGCCCAGTGAAGGCAAGGTCAACTGATGTGGGAGGAATACAGAGATGCTGCTTGCAACTCTGGGGAGAAAATTTGTGCAGCCAAAGCTCAGTTGAAGGTGGACAGAACTGTGGGGGCCACCTGTGTCCTGGGGTGCATCAGGCACAGCATCACCGCCAGGCAAGGGAGGGGACTGTCCTCTCTGCTCTGAGCTGGGGTGGCCTCACCTCCAGTGCTGGGGGCAGTTCTGAGCGCCACAGTATAAAAAATATACAAGATGTTATAGAGCATCCAAAGGAGGGCTGTGAAGATGGTGAAAGACCTTGAGGACAAGACATACAAGGAGCAGCTGAGGTCACTTGGCCTGTCAGCCTGGAGGAGACAGAGAAGACCTTGTGGCTGCCTGCAGCTTCTTCACAAGGGGAAGAGGCGAAGATCTTCTCTTTGTGGTGACAGTGATAGAATCTAAGGGAATGGCCTGAAGTCATGTCAGGGGACATTTAGGTTAGGTATTAGGAAAAGGTTCTTCACCCTGAGGGTGTTTGGGCACTGGAACAGACTCCCCAGAGAAGTGGTCATGGAATCAGCCTGACAGAGTTCAGTAGTAGACTGAACTCTGTAGTAGTAGTAGTAGTATATTCAGAAGTATTTGGACAATACTCTTGGGCATGGTACTGTGCAGTAAATGGCATATAAGGCACTGAAGGAATTTATCATAGATCTTTAAGCATCCCTCTTTTGCATAGTCTAAATGTTTCTCAGTTAAAAAAACATAATTGCTGGCTTGCAGGCAAAGAGGTAAAGTAGTAATTTATTAATTTCTTACTAATTAGTAACTAATTAGTTTATATTACTTCACTCAGAGAGCACAAAAGGATGAGCTGGAGAAAATCAAGCAATATTATCAGACTTCAAAAGAGGAGGAACTGAAGCTTCTGGATAAACCAGAACAGTAAGTTGTGGGGGTTTTTTTAATACTTTGTCATTATATAATGTAGTCCTTTGATTATATGTTGAAAGCAGTTTTGATACATAATTCTTGGTAATTGTAAGCTTTTCTAAAACTATAAACTTTGTGTATTTCAAGACATGATGAAAAATTTGCCCTTATCACAAAACTTTTTTCAGACATGGCAGAGTTTACTACATCAACTTTGACCACCAGAACTGATAAAATATGTCACTTTGAATCAATAAGTATTTTATTCCCATTCTCACATTTTTAAAAGGCTTTTCCTTCCCTTAGAGCATTTGTGGCTTAATTAGCATTACATAAAGCAAGGCCTAACTGATTTTGGTTGTTAATTGTTTGAAAAAGCTGCATGAACAGAGGGTTTGGGTTGATCCTATGGCCAAAGACACCTTGGATACTCTGGTCAAATTCACTGTAAACCTAAAAGACTGATGCCACAGTTCTCCTGGAACTGTTGTGGCCAGTGACAACTGTTAGGATGAAACAGTTAAATGTTGCTCCTTTTGTTGTTATACACCTTAGACTGATGTGAAAGAATCCTCAAGAATTTATGAATGATAATCCTGAATTTTATATTTGTGTAGACATTTGATTTCAGATATTGGCCTCTCAGTGTTTTTTGTCTTCTGCTACTTCACTGCATTTTTCTTTTGTACTTTTATCCTCTTCAATTCTTCCTTCCCAGAGGCTTCTCTGTCGTCTTGTTTCCTTTTCCATTTTGTCTGTTCTGCTGTCTGGTGTAAGAAAGGGTAGGGGGAGGAAGAACTGAAACAGAGATGGTATATGATTGGTTAATGTCAGAATTAATGTATTTTCATACCTTTTTTCCCATTAAAATGTAAGTGCTGAAGAACAGATTTTTTTTTTTTTCTTTTTCTCCTTACATGAGGCAGCTAAATATTCATTTGTAGCTGCACACTAATATTAGGAGATAAGGCTATTATCTTACTCTTGATGAAGAGAGGCTATTGTTCTTTAGTAAGTCTTAAGAAGACAAATATCTGTAAAGTTTATATACTTGCTTACTTTTGCATCCCATATCCATGGTTTTCATTGCCTTGGCTTGGGGCGTAAGGATACATTGTGTGACTAGCTGATGTTTTCCAGAGCTTGAATCTTTGGCAGTCTGTTTGCTGTATGTCCAAGTTAAATAAATATGAATGCATTTTGTCTTCTGGAGAATACAAATCTCGTAGAGCTCTAGGGTTATAGGAGATTGTCTTTTTTGTAACTTATAGTGGAGAGAGGTTAATCTTAATTAAATGCAAAGTCGGATTTATACTATCATTGTTCCATAATTAAGAACTGTAAATGAAACAGTTATGCCTGGTGGTTCAGAGTGAAAGAGTAGTATCAAAGACAAAAGCTATTTTTTTATCAATTATTACTCAGTGCTCTTTCTGCAAGTCCTAAGTATCCCATTTTTACCCTATAATTAAACTACATAGGTTAAGAAAATTAGCTTTTTAAAAGATAGCTTAAGGGGCAAACAATTTGCTTTATGCACTTCTGTAAATTTTGTTGGACCTTCAAAATAATGTGCTTACTGAAAACTCAGTAGATCATGTGCCCCTGGCTTTGTTGTCTCAGTCAGCCTCTAAGTCAGCCTTACTGCAGAACAGGAGATTTGTTGGAGCTGTGCTTTACTTATGAGCCCCATAAAAGGTTAAAGACAGAAAAGTGCTAAATTTGTATGTGTGATTATGCTGTGGGGCATAAGCCTCAGTACTGTCTTTAATGAGAATTAGAACAAAAGTGTACATGAAATAATTTATAAAATGGTTGCACATACTAACAGTTGTCATTCATATAGTGAAACCTTTGAATTGAGTTCACTGAAGTCTAAAGGAAACCCTTACATGTTTGCATTACCAGACAGATAAAAAGCTTTAGTGGTATCACTGACGTTCTTCTCCACACGTGATTTTTATTTGTCTTGCTTGTATGTTAAATTTGGCACAAACTGTAAGGATGACAGCAACATAACAATACCCCCCTAAATTATTCTTCATGATAATAGCTGTTAAAACGCTAATATTAATTGGCATGATAAAGATTTATATGCAAAATTGGCCACAGTTCGGGACTTTCCTAGGAGGATACAGATGCTATAGCTACTTTCCAAGAGACTCCATTTAGTTGTAGTATATTGTCTCTGTAGGCTTCTCCACTGTGAAATAAGTACTAATGAAGGAAATAGTAACAATATGGTACTGGTTTGAATGTAGTTTGATTCAGGAAGTAGGGAGTGATTTATAATTGCTGTCCCAGTAATGCTACTTGCTTCTCTTTGAAGACAGCTCTGCTTGAACTTCAGTTTAAATCCTGCTGTCATACTTAGAAGCTTGCTGGATTAGATACACCTTTTCCCAAAAAATTGCTTCTAAATTTTATATTCTTCAAATGCAAATAAATGTCATCTGGAAATTAGTTTACCTGCTTAGAATCAGCCTTCCTTGTCCATCTTCTGCAAGAATGTTCTCTTACACTAACACCATAACAATATGCCTGGCTTGAAAGTTCTCTCAAGTCCTTAACTACAAGATTCTGGTAGGCTAAAGGAGTTTTCAAGTAAAAGCATTTTTTCTTGACAGTTTCTGAAAGAGAGGAGTGTGATGTACTTCATGGAGAGGTACAGCATATTTTCTATGTTTATTTTAGTCCATCAGAATTGTAGTAATGAGAAACCCATCCAAAAGCCATGTCACAGCCACATCATCATTATTTTAAGTAAAAAATCTTGAAGTAAAAAACCTACTTTTCTCAGAGTAAAATCGAAATAAGAATGTTTCTTTCTCTTCTAAAGTTTTTTCCATCTGAATTGGAGGTTTATTTTTGACAGCCATGGTTTTCATGCTATGACTTTTTGATTAGTTACTACATTTGTAGTCACTAAGATTCCTTTTTGTGACAGATTTCATTTATAAGTGTTCTGTCTGGGTATTTACTTTGAATACTCTGGATTCCAGAAGCTGAAGACATCTTCTTTTTACACTGATGCTCTTTTAACTCTTAGCACAATGACATTGTATTCAATGGTCAGCCATGTGGGAAATAGTTCTCTTTTCACAGGAAGGCAAGAATATGTGTCATTTGACTTTTTAAATTTAAACTTTTTAATTGTATGTATGTTAGAACTTTAATGAAGGAGTTTGGTTTTTCTTTCCTTTGTTTCTCTCACACAAAGTGCAAAATACCCTCTTTTTTTTTTCCTGGCAATACCATTCATTCCCAATAGGAAGCATTTTTATTAATACCAGCTTGGCATTTCTTTTTTCCCACTTCTTAAGTCTAAGAGCCAAGCTGGGCCTCCCTGATCCTTCTCTCACAATAGGTTTTTTTCATCAGACAAGAAAGAAAAAGAAACAAAAAGAAACAAAAAAATGGTCCAATTAAAACATAGTATTTCACACCAGCCACAGGTGAATTCTGCTGATTTTTTAAACAGTCACTATGTACTCAGCAAAGCCTAGCATACATGAGAAACGTGTAAAGCAGATTTAAACATACCGGTTTTATTTATTGTGAAAAAGAAGTAATTTGGAAAAATAAGGTCTATTGGCTTAAATAATTAAAATTAGTTAAGAATAATTCAAGCTAATAAATTGAATACTGAATTTCCTATAACTCAGTGAGGTAGAAAAAAACCTTTACAGCATTGCATTAAGAGGAATCTGAGGATATCTGTAGACAGGAGATTAGAAGAATGATGCTACAGTGATACTGGAGCAAAAGACAAGCTTGCTTCTGGATTTCAAGAAAGCTTTTGTATCTCTGAAGTCTTGAATTTAAAACCCAAGAGCAAATTATTGTTATTAATATTGTTATTATAATAAATGCTAGAACTTCTTTTATTATTAGCCAAGCTCTTTTATTTTAAATTGATGAAAAGGGAGGAATTACTCATGCTTTGAGATGCTTTTATTTTGTGAGGTCTGAACTACAGTTGTTGAATATACCTCCATTTATTGTTATTTACCAAGAGTTAACAGATGAAAAGCTACAATAGAGTCATGAGGAATATATATATATATATATCTGTGAGAACAGACATAGAGCAGATGAAGGCTTAGTAACTTTGCTGAACAGTGACTGAAGGCAGATATGCTCTGCAAGTATTTTAGAGCTAAATACACAGCTAGGTGTGTTCCCATGGAACATTCTGCTATATGATTGAAAGTGTGGTGCAAATTAGAAAAGGAAAATTGATGCTAAGAATCAGAAGAAAGCTGTTGGCAGAAATTTTATATTATGAAATAAATTGGTAGGAATATATTAAGTTCTGTATTTCTGAGCACATTTTTAAGGGAAACAAGACTGCATAAGTTGGTATGTAGGTAGCGCTATGTAGATTTTCCTTTCTTTTTTTTCAAATGGATAATTTAATTTTGAAATTCCTCTGTTTATTACTGTGCAGCTATGATAGTTAATGGTTGATATGATACTGATTAATGTCTTGCCTTTTTCTTGACATTAATAAGATTTTTAATGCATTCTTACCATAAAGAATGTAACAAATATAAATTCTGACAGATTTGATTCAAAGGAAAGAATGCATGTATATTTCATGATAATGTAGGCTTTGATCCATTATGTACTCCACTGAGAAGAATTATAAAGATTCATTAATAGTCCTTTTTTCCCCACAGATTTCTGTATGAGTTGTCTCAAATCCCCAACTTCGCAGAGCGAGCTCAGTGTATTATCTTCCAGTCGGTTTTCTCTGAAGGGATAACGTCAGTGCACCGGAAGGTCGATATTGTGACTCGTGTTTCCAAGGTGAGTCCTCATGAAAGCTAAATTAAAACTTAAATGTATCTTAGGGTATCTAGGCTTCTTTTTTACCATAAGTGAGGAACTTTGATCTTGCTTACTGGCTTTTTAGGAAATAAATGTAGTAGTAAATTTTTAGTTGCTTAAAGAAGGAAGAGGGAAGCAGGAAAGTGAATTGCATGTGATGCCCCATGGAGTATGTAGAAATTTATTTGTATTTAAATGGTAGATTTTTATTACTTTGCATAATGTAATAGATAATCTCCAGAAACTAGGAATTAAATATAAGGCAAGCTTAGTACAGGACCTTGCAAACTGCCTTTTATTTGCATAGCACTGTTAATGCCAGTAGATGCTTGTCATGTTCATTATCTTATTACTTTCCCTTGGCATCTATTAATTTCTGGTAAGCCTAATACAGCATAATTTTTACTATGGGGCAAAGCTCTACCTAATATCTACACACTATGAAAGACTAAGGACAAGATTTTTAAATTATAACAAATAAATTATGAAAAGTATAACAAGGTGAAAATTAGGAGAGAAATTAAATAGTGGCCTAAAGGTCTAACATCCTAACCAGAAAAGTAGTTAATTTTATTTTTTGTCTAATTTGAAGATTAGTTCTTGACTAGCTTTGCTTTCACAGAGTACCCATGCTCTACCCCTTTGGGTAATAGAAATAGTTACTTGTTTCCTTCCTTTCCAAAGGAGGTACGAAAAATCAGTGTTGTATGAGATAGGGAAAGCCATATTGCCTTCAGTTCACTTATGAGGAGTTCACACTGAAACTGATTTATCCAGTGTTTAAGGCTACATAGTTAAAAATTATGCCTGTGGCCTCAGATTGTCAACTGACAGATGTCTTTATATGTAACTGAAAATAATTCACTAGTTCTACACTGTGTTTCTAGAACTGTTTTCTGATCTGAGGCACGTAATTAGTTAGTCCTTAGCTCTCTTATGTCTGGATTAAGTATGGATCCAGGAATGTGAATTTTCAGATCCATGAGAAGCAGACTGGTGACAGCAAAAATAGCACATCCCCATTTAGCTGTGCATGATGCAAACTCATGATAAACCACCTCCTTGTCTGTAAGATTTTTGAAGTCTTCTGAGAATGTTTAGAAATCTTCCATTAATCTTTTTGTCATTGACATAGTATTTGATGCCATATAATTTGTTTCATATGGATTACATTAAACATATTTATCTTATGGAGATGTAATGTAAAAAATGGTTCTTCTAACATTGTGATTATTGCACCAGCTTCAGCTTTCCTTACCTACCAAGGTAAAAACAGACAAGAAAAAAACTTTAGCAAAAATAAAATTAAAAAAATATTTTATATTAGCAATTAGAATTTTTATGTCAACCAAATTTACAGACCAGTATCCATTTTCCAGGCTTTGCTGAGCATGAAAAGTGTAAAGGAAATTTTGGGCTTGATTCTGGCTTTTGGAAATTATATGAACGGAGGGAATAGGACCCGAGGTCAAGCTGATGGGTTTGGTTTGGAAATACTCCCCAAACTAAAGGATGTCAAAAGCAGAGTAAGTACTTAGGTTTGGTTAAAGATAATTTTTCTGAAGTTATTTTTTTTTATTGTTCCTTCATCTGACAGAAGTAAATCATTTATTTCTTACTATTCTTCCTTGAAAAAACAAGGTGCTTTGTACAGTTTTCATTCCTTTTTTTCTCCTAGCTTTTAACCTCCTTCTCTGGAACATGTGTGTGTTTCTTTAATATCTAATTTCTCCTGTTCAGTACTACTAGGATAATTACCTTGTCTGAGAACTTCTGTGTGTCTCTTTTATTAGCAGGGACTTAATAGCAGTAGGGTAGAGTAAAGTGAGAGAGCACAGATTGCTTAAGTCTTACCCAGTAAATGTCCTCATTCTTTTTTCATGCTCTTAAATGAAGATTGTTCTGTGTAAATAAAAACTCTTTAAAAATCAGGTTTAAAATCAAAATATCCGTAATTCTTCATTTTAGTGTATACACTAACAAATTATGTATAAGGGATCAAAGAGATGTCACACCCAACAAGATACTTTCAGTATTTTTTTTAATTGTCAGTTAAATGGATGTAGGATGTGAAATTTGAGTGGCATGCGTGAGAAAATGCTCATAGATGGCAGTAAATTATTTTGTAAAAAATTGAGAAGCACTAGCTGGTTTTTGATTAGTCATGCTAGGATCAAAGTCAGGCTGAAAGGCTAGACACCTTCTGAGATGAGATTACTTTGTCTCTTATTTCTGTAGGGCAGAGCAGGAGGTGTTAGGGAATGTAGGCATTGGGAACACTGCTTGAAGTCATTCTTTGCCAGAACATACCTAGACACCACATGGATATAGGAAGCAGCAAAGAATAGGAGATAATTTTCTGCTGATGTTGGTATAGACTTGGAGTGTGAGGAAAAAACTTTCATGCTCTCCTACTTTTCTTGTGAGATGTGCTTTCTTGACTACAAAAGATGCAGATTTTAAGCTTTTGTTCCCTATTATGCTTCATGTACACAGGACTGCATTTGTGAGACAGGAAGTGTCAGCAAAACAGTTTATCTGTGGAGCATTTTGTTTTACTTGTTTTACTTTTATCATCATTAACAAAGTGTAGAAACACATTTGATGAATTGTTCAGTGTTTTAATGAAAGCTTTTTCCAAAGGATTTGAGTCCTTTGTCTCCTAAAGACATTGAGGTGCTGGAGCATGTCCAAAGATAAACAAAACTGGTAAAGAGTCTGGTGCACAAGTCTTACAAGGAGCAGCTGAGGAAGCTGGGGTAGTTTAGCAGAGGAAAGGAGGCTCAGGTGAAACCTTATCACTCTGCAGTTCCCTGAAAGGAGACTGTAACCAGCTGGGGGTTGATGTCTTCTCCTAAGTAACAAACAATAGGATGAGAGGAAGCAGCCTCAAGTTCTTTCATGGGAAGTTTAGCTTGGATATTAGGAAAAATTTCTTCACTGAAAGGGTTATAAGGCATTGGAACAGGCTGCCCAGAGAGGTGGTGGAACCAACAACTCTGGAGGTGGCACTTAATAATATAGTTTACTGATGGATTTGGCAGTGCTGGATTTTCAGTTGGACTCAATGATCTTAAAGGTATTTTCTGATTGAAATTATTCCGTGATTCTAATTCTTACTTTTGTCTTCGCTGTGATGGTTCAGCTGTTCCATATAACCGCTTTTTTCCCAGTCCTACTGCATGGACAAGACACAGTACAAACAACAGCTTAACTAGAACCAGGCCAAGTTTCCCATTACTCAGGCGTTTGTTGGCTGGCTAGCTGCCTTGAAGAAAAATGTAAAACTCAGCTTTGCCTGACTTTTCTCAGTAGAACTGCTAGGCTTAGTGTCACTCTTTTATCTGCCTATAAACTTCATAGAATTTAATAATCTCTGGGACTTTCCAATGTGGCTGAATTTAGCAAGCTTGTTCCAAAATTATGCATTATGAAAAGGAGTAACTGATATAAAATGTAACTATGAAAGACTTGTTCCTTAGCAAAACAGGCTAAAAAGCCACATTATTTACAGTTTCCTGGTAGCCAGAATAAATATGTTATTAGTTTAGATTAGCCTTCAAAATGCATGAAAACTCATAGGGTCCAGTTACTACAGGGAGATGTGAAACCTCAGAGATAATTGGTAGTCTGTATTTGAAAAGGAGAAGAATGCAGGGTCTTGTACACTTGAGCATTAAGGTATTCTTCCTTTGTCCTATTATTCCCTTCTCATGAGTTGCCAGCAAATACATCTTAACTGAGCTGAATTCCATGAGCTAAGGTAAAGAGCCACTGCTAAATACCTCTTATTTCACATAAAAGTCATTTATTGTCATATGAGCTTAGAAAGTTACTTTTTATAGAGATTTTTTGACCTGTCAGTAATGGCTTCTAAAACTCTTAAACATGCAGGGTGGCTTTTCCTGCATGACAGCAGTGACTTACTTAGTTAAGAATTTTGCTGGTGTATGATACTAATAAAATATAATGTGCTGCAGACTCTCATATAGACAAGGCAGCTCTGTACAGGAAGTCAGACATTGTTCACATACAAATGTTTGTTCTGATACCTGTCAATATAAAATATGAAAACATGTCCAAAAAACTTCAAAGGCATTCCAGATATAATTCCCTATATCATGGTTCTTTTATATTACTGAATGTAATGTATAACTTTTCCTTAGTTCATCTGGCCCATGCTGACCCAATGACATGTAACAAAATAAAATACTGTTTACAGTTGTGTGCAGGAACATGGAAATGGTGATTCTATAAAGTGAGAATTAAAATTCATATTTATATGGTAACAGGGCATGAAGTACACTTCTTAGTTGAATGCTATCTGATTTCATATTTAGAATAAAATATGTAAAGTATCTGTGCCTTTTTTGGATCTTCCTTATAGATGATTGAGACTATAGGAATCAAGAAATTCTTTTCACATAATTGTATCTGAGGTGACTGTAATATTTAGTTGATACTATGTTTAAGAGTAGTATTATTGAATAATATTTTTATTTGAGTTAATATTATTATTCTGTAATGCCTTCTATTATTACATAAAAAGCTTCTCCCATGTATTCTTCTCTGCATGTATTTTTTCTGGTATTTAAAACCAAAATAAACTCTGAATCCAGTAGTGGTACGATGAAGTCGCTGTTGTAAAAAATCAAATGTTTTTGATCAGTAATGCTAAGGCTAAAAGAGTATTATGAATCCTATTTCTCACAGCAATATAAAATAATAATTAATTTAATTTTAAATAGAGTACATTTGCACACTGAATCAGTGTTAATCATACATTTTTAATTTTTTCTAGGACAATGGTATTAATCTTGTGGATTATGTTGTCATATACTACCTACGCCATTGTGATAAGGTAAAGGATTTGCTCTATCAGCCTCTCCAAAACTTAGTTTCTTTAAGAGATGGTGAAAGGGTTTGTAACAGCTTTATAGAAATCTGAACATAGTACCTCAGATGGGAAAATAAAATCCATTTCTTTTGCTTTCTTATAATAGTTGTGTACCTCAATAGGCATGAAACTTGCTATAAGTTTCAAGGTAAGACTAGGGAAAATTTTACCGTGGTTGTTGAGAGAACCACTGCAGGCAGTTAGCTGTGACTGTTGCAGACTGGACAGGTAGTCTCTCCAGCCCTGCCTTATTACATCTGGGTGGCTGAAACATTGTAAAATTTCTTCTGATGTCATGATATTGGAAGGCAGAAGCATGATTTCTCTCTTAGGATGAAAAATGCAAGGACAGGTTGTTATTTTAAGATAAGTGGGTCAGCTGATGGGGGTGAAGTTAGGGGTTAAAATGCTGCTGTAAGTTCCATTCTATTGTATATGATACTCCTCTGTACACGCATTTACATGTATTATATACATTCATTTATTATATATATTTTTTGGGGGGGGGGGGGGGTTTGTTTGTTTGGTTTTTGGGTGGGTTTTTTTTGGTTTTTTGTTGTTGTTGTTGTTGGTTTTTTGTTGGTATTTTTTGGGGTTTTTTTGTTATTGGCAATAGCCAAACTTACTGAGTGGAAAATTTGAACTATTTTATTTTGAATGAAAATGTTGCTATTAAATTATTTTAACAATGATTTTCAACAATTTAAATTTATTTTTTTCTTTTTTCTTCTTTTTTCTTTAAATTCTTACGTAAGGTTGTTGCATTGATGAGTTAGTAGTCCTCAGATATATAGATCTGTATCAGTATTCTTTCTTTAAGATTTTTGCATTTGTTTGTTTCTCTTTCTTTTTTCTTGTGTTTTCTCTTGTTGGTATTTTTGTTGGTTTGGATTTTTGGGGGGAACTGGGATTTTTATACTTTCTAATGAATTTATTAAAATATTTATTTAATAAAATATTTAATTAATTTAGTTAATATTTCTGCAAACTTCCTACTATACTGTAATTTTACTTCAGGGAATTTTGTGAAACAAAAGAGTGTATCTTCCTTGGAGGAAATAAACACAGTGTAATTATCATCCATTGCACTTTCTCCACCAAAATGTTTATATCTTTATAATAAAAAATTACTCTTTCCCCATTCACTAAACAATTAGCTCTCCAACCTATGAGTTTTCCTTTATTACAGATTGAAATCCATGCAGGCATATGCATATTTCAAACTCAGCAATATATGCTTATACTCAGCAAAGTCATGTTAATACCATTTATACATACTTTACTTCCTAAAATTCCACTGGAGATACTGCTTTGAACCGTGTAAAAGTTTTTTGTTGGTTGGTTGCTGGGTCTTTTTTTATTTTGTTTTGTTTTGTATGTGAGGGGGTTCTTATTGGCTTTGTTTGTTTATTTGTTTTACTTCTGATTATTTTTTCTTGCTGTGCTAAAAATAAGGTATATACTTAGGGGGTCCATGCAGGCTTTAACCCCTGTTATTTATTTAGCCACATAAGCATTCAACTGTGTATTTTTATCTGTGTGAAGTGCTTCAGGAAATATATGAATAGGGTTTCCAATTTATGCTTATAAAGTGTGTGTGTTTTTAATGAATTGTGAGAGAGTGAAACCACAAACGTTTGGCATAAGATCCCTTCTTGCATTGAAATGGGCATTCCTGTTATCTTTTTCTAAGAAACTTCTAATCCCTTATCTAAACCTTTATTAACATAAAATTAACTTAAATGTTCTGTGTTTAATGTTGTTTCAAAATTTAAATTGAGCGCAGTTTGCTTTACAACATCTAAGAGGAAGTTTCAATACTCAGAATGGTTGATATTTAATCTTGAATGAGATGTTGTTTTAACAAGAATGATTTAAAATATGTGATTTTTGTAATTTTATAACACTGTTGCATAGATGAGAAGTTTTTAAAATCTACTTATTTCACTTTAAATGCATTCAATTTTCATAGAGGCTTGTTTGTTTGTTTGTTTGTTTAGGAAGCAGGAACAGACAAGAGTATTTTTCCTTTACCAGAACCACAGGATTTTTTCCAGGCCTCCCAAGTTAAATTTGAAGACCTAATAAAAGACTTAAGGAAACTGAGGAGAGATCTAGAAGGTAACTGGGAACTTTCACATTTGTTCTGCTAACAACAAAGTGCCATTTAAAATGTGATCTTTATGAGGTTTTCTTATTGCTAATTAGGTTTATAGTGTTGATTCATTTAGAGTTTTTACACTGTGGCACAAATTACTCACATAAATTAGAAAGAAAAAAAAATTTAACTCATGACTTAATAAAAATGAAAGTAGAGATCCTGAAAAGTAATTTTCCCTTTTACAATCGAAAGGCCCCTAAAGAAATCTTTCTGAATATTCCTTCAGTTATGTATGAATTTTTCTCTGGCTTCTCCAGAACTATGTGTTTAACTGTAGATATCTGTTAGCTCCATAACATAAATACTTTCTTCAGTACTTGTATAACAACAATTTCAAAGCTACAAGAAAGAGTTGAATACTATTAATGCAGAAATAAAACACAGCTTGCCAAGGCAGAGCAAAGGGAAATGGAAAGCTCCAGTTCAAAATATTTTCACCCTGGGACATAAAATAAACATTTAAAAATGTTTATTATAAAGAGGGGCTCAGAAACCCAACTCATCTATCAATCAAGGTACTGAGTGGAAATAAAGTAGGAAGGGTTGTGCTCTTAAGTATTTCACGCAGTTTCTTTTTTATTTTGTTCTACATGTAATTTTCTAAAATAAATTCAGGAAATGATGACTGAATATTTTAAGCCTTTTTCTTGTTATAGAAAAGTTTCTACTTTACTAAGGGAGTTCTGTGTAGAAGATGGAGTTTAGGAAGAGAATCTGCATAAAAACATGTAAAAACTTTTACATTTAGATTTACATGTTTGCACCAGTCTAGAAGAGTCCTTTTGTAATCAGAATTGAACAAGATAATTGTTTTCAAATTTTTTCAATGAAAGGTGCTGAAAACCGTTACAAAATAGTTTATCCTTACAGCTAGGAATTGCTGGATTAGGTCACTGCCATCCTTAGGATAATTCCAAAGGTTAATAGTGGGAGGAAAGTATCAGTTGTTGTTTGTTCGACCCAGGCATAAGTGAGTGCTCTATCTCCTCTCATCGCTTGGCCCTGTAAGCCCCTTGGCCTGCCCTCTTTTGGGCTAGTTTTTTGCAGAAACATGATCTGTGTTTGATCTTGTACTTTTTCAGCATGTAGTCCTGCTGTCATACATCTTAGTTGAGCAGGAGCTGCATTGAGGCTGGAGCATTCACATCATATTTGTTCTACATTACAAAGACACAAACAGCAAATAGGAAAAGCTAAACTCTTTTAAAATAAAAACTTCAGCTTTCTTGTAATCACTGATTTCTGTCTTCTAAACCAAATTTTTGTAGGTATTTATAGCAAATCTAGAAAAATTGTTATCTTGATGTTGTTTCTGTAATTCTTTGTAAAGGTGTGCGTTAAAGCCAGTCACAGCAATTAGCACACAAAGTTAATGACAGCAAAGATGTGAAACAAAAAAGGTTGTGGAAATGTTTTCAGAATGTTGGTATTTTATCACTTAGAATATGCAACAGATTCTAACAAGCATTCCTGTGATTGTTTCTCTTACATTTAAACAAACAATCACATATATAAGAACTTATCTTTTTTTAAAGATTCCCTTTCAAATTTTTTTCTTCAGTTTATGCTCTAGTTAATTTTTAAATCAGAATTTTAATTGAAGAGGTTATAATTTTAACACGTAGAACAAAGATTTGATGAGTCTCTGTAGTTTATTGTAGCCATTAAAAAGTTGTGGCTGCTGGCAGAATACCAGCGAAAGTCTAAAGCTGAAACAGATGTGAGTAGCAGAAAGCAAGTCCAGAGAAGCGTCGGGCCCAGCTATCCAGACAGGCGCGGCCCTTCAGATGTAAATAATTTGAACAATATTAACTGGGGCTGCCTGTGTTATAGGGTACATTGGATTTGTTTCACAGTTTGTTGGCTAAGGTAGTCTTGAGCAGATTACCTTGGAAGTGGGATGAGACAAAGGCAATAAATGGGAGAGAGGTTTTCATCGTGTCATTAGGTAATGAACTAATTTTCCTGCTAGTGACTTCCCTTTTTTATGAGATTGGTAAGAAATTATTTTAAAAAAGAAGCATATCACTTCTTGCAACTGAAATGGAAATTTTGATAGTTACTTTTCATATTATTTCTCATTTAGTATTTAAAAAAATATTTGACTAGTTTATCAAGGCATACATTTATGTTTCTAACATGGATATTAACATAGGAAAGATGGAATTATCATGACTGTCATGTCTTATAAACCTTGTGGTATAAACCTCTGGTTTGAAATACCTAGACACTGTGGAACCAAAAGTTCAAATCTAGATGGAGTACAAACCCTTTTATCCTTTTCAGATAAACAGATTGAGTTCCGTACAATTTGCTATTTTTAAATCTTTCAGATTAGACTTTAAAGGTACAGGCTAACTTTACTCTGAAGGGATTAGACTGAAGTTAGATTCAGGAATTCAAAAAGGTTTTTGGAGAACCTTAATCCAACAGGTTTTTAAAACATATTCCAGAACAATCTTTTTAATCATAGGTGTTTTAGGTTAAAAAGAATGAGAAACGAAAATATGCATTTAATATAGGCTTTTAAGGGGAAAGAAGTGAATATTGGATGGTAAGATGAAAATTTTAGTGAAATCTGGTTCCACTCTAATATCCAACTAGAAAGAAATGTCTGTAAACTCAGGTTTTCACTCCAGGTCTGTTGGTGTATTTCCAAGGCTTTCAAATATTGCATAGTATCATAAGCAGATACATTTATTCATTTAACTCATGCTAGCTTTGCTAACTTTCCAGTTAATGTAGAGTTATGGAAAGAAACGATTTTACTTTGCTTCAGTTTGTAAGACTTCTTATTCCTTGTCTAGGGCAGGGAATGATTCCCACATTTTTCTTTCCCTGTGACCAAACATGATTTACCTTCTAATTTGAACAATGCCACTTGGTAGTCTTGAAATTGGTATTCTTCTGGAATTAACACAGAATGTTTTAAATACATCATCATACGAAGATACTCAGAAAGAAAGCCACTTTACCAAAGTTTGATAGACTAGTATAAGTTTTACCATGAATCCTTTTATTAATCTGTGTCTGAAGTTGAACAATTTTAATTAGTTGCCCTGTAGATTGTTTCCATCTGTCATACTCCTTCCTCTTCTTTGTAATACAGTACATAAAATTTTAAAATTTTGTGCTGCTCTGTTCCTCAAAATAAAGCAATATGAGATGCCTCCTGTAATATTCTGTGATGTTCATTGTAACTTTTTTTCTATTCTTGACAAATGAAACAGCAAAACTATTTATTGAATTGTCAAAAATGGAAACCAAGGTAGGCCCATAGTAAGGATTTTGAAAAGCCACTTCTTTTTCTCATAATTAGTTAAATTTAATATGAGAGAGATTGTAACATTCTGATTCCATTGAAAATCCACATAGCCTTTACTTTCCCCTCCTTTCATGGCCACCAGTAGAAATAGTGGTTGCAATTTTCATACTAATATTTTTTCAGTACTGTATATAAGTTTTAAATTTTATTAACTTAATTGTGTGTGTGAGTATATATGTAGGTGTTTGCAAACACATATGTGACAAAAAAAAATCTAAAATAAAAAGACAATTGCTATACAATTGTCAGTTTGAGACAGAAGACATGGTTTTATATTGGGCACCTCTTAACCTAGTTGTTGACAGATCTGTACCTTTCATAATAAGTATGTAACCTCAACTTTTCCCCATTTACATGGGAGAGCTTCACCAAAACTTAAGTTTATGACAACTCCATTTTATAAAATTGCATAATACTTTTAATCTTTTTAAAAAAGATTAAAAGATTAATCTTTTTAAAAAGATTAAAAGAGAAGTAAATCTATGCAAGAAAAGTTAAGAAATTACAATGTTGTGTTGGCCATTTTCATACTGGTTTTTATGCAGAAGCATTACAGATATCTTAAAATGATAGAGAAGTGCAGTTTGGTAGGTTGGAATGTACATCTGGAGGTCCTGTGGTCCAGAGCCTTTGAGCAAAAGTAACTTTGTATTTAGATGAGGCTGTACAGGACCAAAGTCATCTCAGTTTTGGATCTAAGGATGGAAATGGCAGCACGTCTCTGGGGACCTGCTCCAGTGCTTTATTTCCATCTTGAGTACTTTTCTTTATCCCACGTGAGAATTTCTTGTGCTGCAACTTGTGACTATTGCTCAATTTTCTTTAGATGTGCATTCCTGAAAAAGTCTGGCTCTGCCTTCTCTCTAGTTTTTCCTTAGATAGTTGACATGAAAATCTAGATCTGCAGCCCGCTTTCTCTAAACAGGACTGAACATACCTGGCTTCTCCTGCCTCTTCTTCAGGTGCTTCATTTAATTTTCATTCCTAAATGTCATGAGAATATAAATAGTTTTTTCAGGTATTAATATATATTTATATAGTATAAAATATATTCTTGTTCATAGAAACAGGTCCAGTGGACTGGATGTGACTAACAAACACCATGCCAGTCGTGTCACTCCCTTAACACGGTCTCTCAGCATGGCTGATTAGACCAGACTAAACTGCTGCATATACACTGCTCTCATTCAGTGCTTCTTCAGGTAGCTGTGTATCACATTCTATTGCAAAGCATGGAAGAGAATTTCGAAATAAGAAATGGATGGAAGCTGAAAAGGGTCACTCATTTGCCATGCTTTCAGCAACTGTTACTTTAAATAGAGTCAAGGAGGAAACTGCAAAAAGAAAAATAACCAGTTCATGCAGACTAAAACTCTGATTTTCCAAATTTAAAGTACTGAAAAACATCTAGATTTATCAAGGATTAGAAGGGAATATATTTATCAATAGGAAAACATATAAAGGCAGAAAAGTTTTGTTGGTAATATTCCAAGAAGTTAATTTACAATTCCTAAATATTTTTTCCCATCAGAGTCCTCAAACTGAGTGAAAAAGTTTTGCAACAAAATGTCCCCTAATTAACTATAGCCTGGTTTTGTTCTAGAGATTAATTGATTTGATGGCTTATAATTTATT